AAAATCTTCCCCCCCCCCCTTCCCCTCCTCCCCCCCCTTCCCCTCCTCCCCCCCCCTATGGTAGCTTTTGTCCTTTATCAGTTTCATATTTTGCCTTTTGTTGGGTTCATTTATATTGTCTACTTTCGCATTTGAAAAATAACTTGGCAGCAGTAATAATGTCTCAGTTAGTGCTGTAACATTTGGATTAACCTTTTCTATTAAAAACGCTACCAGCGTGGTAATTTCCCCAACCACCTCTGCATTACCTTTCTTCATACGCGCATGCTGGTTTCGGGGCTCACTCGTAATTTTTAGCATGTTTCCAACTTTTTCTGCTGTGAATTTCAGCCATGACTAAGGCAATACATGCACTTCCTAAATAGTAAATTTATTCGTTATTACTAAAGAGTGTGTGGATTGTATTTTAGCCGTTTAAATTTCCTACAGTTCGCGTGCCGAAAGTAACCATTTGTTAAGAAAAATTCCAGCGCTTAGATCATTTTCTTCTTGAAGGTTGGGAACGGTATTTAGCACAGTTTAAAGTCATGATAACACCCAAGCCCATTCTAGGAAGGCGGTTTGCCGACGCTTATCTTGGAGAAGAAAGAAGTAACCTAAAGTCTCCCTAATAAGAAAGGAGAATTCTGCATTCCCTTTACTGTCAGTTATAGAGATTAACGATAAGACCCACTGCCCACCGACATGGCAGACACCTCCCACGTTGTCATTATACACTCACTACGAGTACACAAGCCACCATGACAACTCGTAACACTTGACCTAGGATCTACCACAAAAGGTCCATCTGTTTTCATTACATTTGGCATTAGTTGCAGTCGTGTTCTTGATGTGTTCCACATAAGCAAATGATCGGCACCATTAGCCACTCCTAATTAGCTACGGGTATGATCATTTGAGACGAGAAGATATTGAATATTCTAGGCTTTTAACCCCCCAAAAGATTACAAGACACTTAAAGTCTTAAGTCGATTGAGGAAGGCTTTTTAGTAGTATATGTTTCATCTAGAGAGGGAGTGTCATAGCGCCTCTCTGGTAAGAAACTCCAATTCACCCATTTCTTTATCAGCTTGTCGTAATTTCGTTCACCGGATGTTCACCGTTAAACTATTGAACCTTCGACCATTGACTTCCCAAATCGGCACGCCAACAAATGCTTCACACTTCGTACTTACTTAAAAATAAGTGGACTGAGGTGCACTTTAGAAGATTGAAAAAAAGTTTGGATTTAATAGGTTAACGAAAAACTGGAAGAATGTGACCAAATGAATTCCATGTAATTATTCGTGATTCAACTGACCCCAAACGTGTTGGATTCATTTTCCCTAAAAGACGGAATTGTTATATTTTTCAGTATTCATCTCTATTGAAGGAAAGTTGCAAACTGATCTTTATCGTCCGCATAATTTTGGCTTGATATATCTGACACCTTATCAGTTCCTCTCCCACGAGATTCGTTTCTCACAAACTCCAATACTTTTCAGTCGCACCCAACAACGTACAGATTCATCCGAGCGTGACAGGTGGTATCTCGGAAGGGGAAGTCATCTCCCTGACATGTGCCGTCGCTGTATCCCATCCACCTGCCACAGTTCGATGGTTTGAATTTCCCCCAGATTCTGGGGAAGAGGCTGGATCTGGACGGGAAATCACTGACCTCGCCCAAATTGACATGGTAAAGCAGCTCCCCTTCCCCAATTCTCATACATACCTCATTAAGAACCCTCGTGGGAGCTTGAAATTACATAACCGTCATTTTAATCCCTTTTTTCAGACATCTGGTGAATATGGTGGGATGTTGGTAGACAGCACCTTGAGAGTCTCCAAGACGTTTCGTGCCAACTCCAGGACTGAGTATCGTTGTGTCGTGAATCAGGACGCTCTTAAAAGTTCAGTCATCGCTAAATACAAATTAAACATTCTCTGTAAGTTGTTTCTGCATTTGCAAGGGTGTTTACTATGCGTTAGTGACATCAATATACTCTCTCATTGCAAGATACCGCATAGGATGACTTTCTCTGTTTTGCCGTAGGTGTTGCCTAAATCGTGGTCTGTGCATCGTGATTTATGAAAGTACAAATGATTCAATCAGCAATTAATAAAATTCTACTGGCCTACTAAAAGTGGGGGGGGGGCTTTATGATGCATGCAGCGCAGCTAAATAAAAATCCCTCTCTTTGGATCATTCGATTTTGTTTATGAAGCAATAATTTAATTCTGCTAATGACTGCCAAAATTTAAAGCCGAATTCAAGCTTCTGGTGGCCAGTCTAGTCTTAATTTTAACGACAAATGAGGGTTCATTAACTGTCTTCGGGCCAGGGAATAAAGGCATATCAATGAATAGCCATTAAATAAGAATAGTAAAGTTGTAGACTGTTAGAATCGTTCTCTAAGTTCCCATAGAGACGATGTGCCTTGGATGTAGAGAGTAAGGTGAGCAAAACAACGCATTTTCTGAACTGAAGATCCCTAATTCTAATGCATATCTCTCTATTATCATGTGCAAGCTATGATGATCTTGTTTCTCTCTATTATGACAGTGATTAACTTTCAATCCATCATTACTAATTTACATTTAACTTTATTCTCGTATAACTATCTACGGTGTTATTTAGCTATTCCTAGTAACAATAATAATGAAGGTAAACGTTGCCATTATCTAAATATTTATCTCTTGTGGTAGGGAAGTCCGCATGGACTTTGACTAGCTTTAGCAAATCCTAATCTCCACCACTCTTATTGAGCATCCTTGTTACGAAATTACCTTTCCAAAATAATCACGTGTTTTACGGATCGATTATGGCGTCTAATATACCCAACCACTTAATCAAATATATAAAGTAATTAGCTCGCAGCATGGGCATAGTTACAGGCGAATTAGGTAATCATGCCCGTGGGAAGCCCAGTTTACGTAGTGGGCATTGATTAACGGAATTAACCTTTCGGTTGGAAGCGAAACGTATGTATGCATGTATTTGTGTGCATATTACCACTGGACGCCATGCTGCTATGCACCTCTCCACCCACTGTATCCCTTCATTCTTATTACCTTGCTTCCTTTAACTGTAGAGTGATATATCGCCTATCCATACATCACCATTAACTACCCCATACATGGTGTAATCAATCTAGATGTATAACAATGTTACTACTTACTTTTATCAGTAGTGATTTTGACATTATGCTCGATTTTGTAATTTCTTTTGTAGATCCACCGGCGATTGAAATAGTGGGCCTCCCTAATGACCCAAGCGAAGGGCAATCTGTCACTCTTTCCTGCCTTTCACATGGAGGGATGCCTGAAAATGGCTTTCTTTTCTCTTGGTGGCACGCGAAGAATATCCAGTTTCCACCTTCAAGTGGTATAAATAGTCCATCAAATTTAAGACAAGAACTTTCGCCAGTTCTGGCTAAGTCACTGGTGGCTTCGCTGAACACTTCAACTCTGACTGATATCTTCTCGACTGATATGGTTCAAATTTCAGGTAATACAGGTCGTCATTTGGTGCTTGACAATCTTGAAGATGAACAGGATGGATGGTACGGCTGCCAGATTGTTAATGGCGGGGGAACTGCTCAAAGTCTTTACCTTCTACTTATTAATTGTAAGTAGTTTACATCTATTTGATAGTTGTTTCTGTATCGGTAAAGAAGTTCATTTACTCTCTCCATCACAGTTGCCCCACGGATCCACCCTAGTACAAAATTTATTCAATATGCTCACAGAGGAATGAAAGCCGAGTTCTCACTTACAGTAGAAGCTAGGCCAACTACAGCGGAGTTTATGTGGTTTTGGATAGGAGATGAGCCTGCTTTAGCTAATAATGCAAGAAACTTAATCATAACACAGTCTTCGACTTCACGATCAAAGCTAAGGAATCGAAGGTCGATAGCGCCTCTAAAATCTATTTCAACCTCAGTTTCTCCTTGGATTAATCGAGTCAAACAGACCTCAAGCACATCTAATGACGGCAAAATGACATTCACCTTGACATTTAGAGAGGTGATAGAAGCTGATTATGGCCTCTATATGTGTCAAGTTAATCACAAGGCTGGCAACCGCGAATTCTATTTTGAGCTTAAACGTCAATCTGGTACGTTCTCTTTACTTAAATAATATCAGTAGCCGAGTCACAAATTTGAATGTACTTCAATGTTTTTCATTAAGATGCCAAGGGGATAAATCCAGATACCATCCAAATCACCGGAGAAGGAAGAAAAGTTCGAGTAGAATTTGAGCCTCCAAATAGTCAGTTCTACTCACGAATAGTCCTTCGTATTTGTCTACCTTCAATAAGCGCACATGGTGGCGCAGGAAAGAGTATAAGACCTTCAGGAGAGCTTGTTTTTTTGCGACCGGTCAAAGATCCCTCAGGTAGTAGTTCTCTGGTATCCTCAGGAAATATAGGAACTCCTTCTTCGGGTGGAGTTGAAGAGTGTGGTGACTATGAGATCACATTTGCGGAGCTTGGGTTCCTTCAATTGGAACTCGATCGACCAATTGCGGAATATACTTTTCAATTTCTTGTCTACCAAGATGGTCAGCTTCGACAAATCACTCGACAAGTCAAGTGGAATGGTGGTAAGCGCTTTCACATACTTCCAAATATACGTGGGTGCTACAAGTAGCACTGATTAGTCACATCTCACTACTCACCTGTTTTGGTTTTTTTATTTTTAACAGGTAATCGACCATCTACTCCCACATCATCAAAGCCGTTGGTTCAAGTAATCATTGGAATCCTGATAACATTACTCGTTATATGTCTTACCGCCTTCTTGATCTATTACTTCTGTTCCTGTTTCAAAAGAAAAAGTACGTTTACGACTGATTTAATGTAAACAAAGCCAAATCTCAAGGCCTATTTATTACTCTCTCGCTCTTCTCTTCAGGCATGAAGAAATTGGCTCCGGCAACAAGTAATGGGTAAGTGAAGTGCTATTTTCCTTTGCTAAGTCCAATGACTTTTAGCATATTGGGTGCGCAAGTACAATGAGCATTTACTGAGGTTATATGACATGTCAAGTAATCATGAGAAATATATCACGATAAGTGGTGTTAATGTCGTGGATTTAGTCAATTACTACCTGGAGAGTGTTTAAGCTCTTGTCGCAAACTGTTGAGAAAAAAGCCGAGAGCACACTCTCAAATAAAACCAACTCCAGCTCTCACTTTTTCCAATAATCAATAAATACTCAGATGAATTTAAGGGTGAATCTATTGCCTAAAGAAGGCGTTTAGAAATGCAAAGTAGTGCTAATGCCAACAGACATGTATTGATTTCCTCACTGATTCAAACCTGTGAGTTCTTATTCTTGCCACGCCTTTAGGAAAGATAATTTGGCTCTCATTTGTTGTTTGTCAGTAGAGAAAATGGATCCTATTTTTGATTTTCAATTTCATTTAAGAAGAGAGTCATTCCACGTGTCTGTGTTTACCCTTTGATTATTTATTTTTTTCATTGATAAAAATGGCAATTTGAGGTAACATAAAAATAGAGGGGCGCTATGTACGAATGTTGCCGTTTATGGACCTATATAGGAACGATATGACAGAGTTGTCATAAGACGATTGAAGTCACTAAGAGATTTTCTAATGACTTTAAGAGTTGAAGTTTTCAATTTAAATAGGGTTAATTGCGTAGAATAAATTAAGGATATTCTGATATTTCTCGGCATAGTCAGAATTATAATTGAATGAATATAATTCATAATTCTGCCAATGAGTCTAGGCGAGTACTACGTTTCGTCAATCATTCACAATAGAAATATTTAGCTAAAACTGCTCATACATACATAAGTCAAAAATTCGTTTGAATTATTTAAATAACCAATGAATGCATGGAAAATTCAGAAATTGAATGCGAATATTTAGGTTTTAAAACCATTTTAAAACAAATTAATATCAAAAGTAGTGTGACTAGACAACTCTATTTAGTGTTGCTCTGAAACTTTATACCTCCATCCTATTACAAATTTTGTGCCCTCAAGTTCAATTTAATGTGTTTTAGGGTGAATATTTTTTAACAAAAAATAAATTTATTTATATCAAATGGCAGGGGTTTTGATAATTATCATTAGCCCTTTAATTGACTTCGGGTTTCACAGAGGGGAGGAACAGACCAAGTGGAAAAACAGTAGAGAGGTGGGGAACAGAATAGTGATTAAAAGATGTAAATAGACGGACAGGCAAAAAGGCGGAGGAAAGGAAAGATGAGTACTGTGGAAGTGGTTGAATATGACATACAGCGGAGTCATGGTAGTTTGAAGTCAACTGCCGATTAATAGACTTTTTTGTCGTATGAGTCTACGTTGCCCAGGGTGCACCATGCCATGGAGGTAAGTCTATCGCCCACCCCAAGCAAAAAATCTATGTATCATATATAGTGATTTACAAGTTCCCAATGAAGCTAATTGGCTAATAAAGAATTATTTCTTGGTAACCAACTTAACACGAATTCGAATCTATTGATGTTAACATAATGGCTTATGTAAGAGGTGAACTTTAAGAATCCGAAGGAACTGGATCTTGAGAAATTTCACACAAAATTAAGGATTTCCCTTAAGTAAAAGCAGGAGATCATGATTTGAGTTGATCAGGAAGAAAAATTAGGTAAATAAATTGGGGGGAGGGGGGGGGGGGGGGGACGCCAGCACAAAGTGAAGAGAAACCTAGTAAGGTGCCCGACGAATAGCTATCTTCATTGTTAGTCAGGTAATTAATCAGTAAAGCTCTTATCATTTTAACATATAGAATGCAACTGACTCCAGATGAAATTGTTTTTTGAAATAAGGGGCAAATTGGCGTTCCAATGAGGCCAATAATAGATATTTCAAAATATTTTTAGGAGAAAATCATATCATGTTGAGAAATAAATGCGTTATTGTTTACAACAATTTATGCCTTTGTCTTCGTTGCATATAAATTAGGGGTAATCACACTCTACTGTTATTATCTTCTAGTCTTCTTCACAATGCCAGGACCTACCAGACGCTGGATTCCGGCAAGACATTTGGCTCGCAGCCATCGGGTCCAGGATCAATAAGTGCGGATATAGGTTTGTTGCACCCCGCCTATGCCCGGCAGTCTATAGGTGAGCATGCTGGCTTCCTTGTGTGTGTGTGTGTTTCTATAAAGCTTTGCTATTAATCAAGTCAATTCAAATTCACCAAGTCAATAACATTCCCTAGCACTATCACTAGTCTAATTTAAATTATTGCGCACTAAAGCCCCAGTGACTAAAACACCATGTTCATCATCATTATCATCATTATCACCATCGGCGATAAACGTGTCAAGCAAGCAACTGTGGCCGTGCATGCCCTTTATGGCTTGGCTTGCCTATCATATATAGATGATAAGGTTGATATAAATCAAAATCAAATACCTGGATTTCCAAATCGGAAGTCCACGATGGTTGAGCCTAACAATGTGATAGATTGCCGAATGAATATATTAAAATTCTGCACTAGGCTCCTGCTTTGTATGTGTGTTTCCTGCTTCGCTTTGATTTCCTTCTGGCTGCTATTGCAATGAAATCATGTTTGGGTGCCGCGATTGTTTATTTAGGATCGGCCTCCCTACAAACTGGACCATTGCCCACGCTTTCTATAGCAAGTTCAATCAATGAAGACAATGAAAATCGTCGAACACCAGGTGTGTCCTCGCACACATACTGCTCAAGCATACTCTATTAAGACTAAACAATTAAATCTTCAATCCCCCCCTCCCCCCTCTCTCTCTCTTTCGCTCGAAAATTTCTTAAGAGGCTTTCGAGGTAATAATTTCGGTTGATTAAGAAACAAGACATATAGAGCATCATTATCCAAGCTGATCAATGCTCAATTATTGGGTCGCTTGAAGCCATAAGCTTCCATAAAATCAATTAGTCAAATTAATGACGTTTCTCAAGCTAATTTGTGTTATATACTCTATGATCTTAATAGGCATATTGAAAGACGTAAGCACCTATTCAAATGAAATTAAATTTTAACTGAAAACTCCGATGATAATTTTGCCCACATATTTTAACAACGGAATTGTTTGGATCAGGTAATATTCTTTAATAAATGTCAACATAAAATCGAATTAGATAATAATAATAATAATAGATAAAAGAAGAAGCTTTTCCATTTTGTTGAAGGTAGGGTAAATATATTGGTGATAGTGCATGAGGAATTAATATACTTCTTATCGCAAGTAATGTGAACTTAATTTGGCAATTATTTATATTACATGGAAGGCTTTTTGATAGTTATTATTAGCCATTTAGTTGACCTCGGGATTCACAGAGAAGAGGAGCAACAACATCACAAAAGTCGAGAGGGGGGAGAAAAGAGTGATTCGCAGATGCAAGAGAGACAGACACAAAGGCCAAGAAAAAGGTAAGGTGAGAACTGTGGAAGTGGTGGAATATGGCATACAATTGGGTCAGGGTAGTTTGAAGTCAGAAGTCAACTGCCGGTTTATAGACTTCTTTGCACTATTAGCGTACGCTGCCTAGGGTGCATCACGTGGAGGTAAGCCAATCGCGTACCCCATTTTTCAAATGTACTTGTTGGCCTATTACCTCTAAATTTTGGTGCAATACTAACTGATGGACCTTATCTCTTTCCAACCATCTACGTGGGATGCAGACTATTCTAGAGTCCCTCTAACGAGGAAGTTCTCAGTGTTTGATAACAAATGTGCACCGGCAGGCGTCGATCTCGTGATACACCCTACATGGCAAATGTGCACGTTACCGTTGTCCTCTGCGTAGCAAAAGACTTTATTCAAATTAATGGAAATTAGGTACTTAGAACGTAAATTAGCTGCCCTTTTAGCTAACTAGAAGCTCATTGATTTTCAGCGAGCTCATGCCAATCGGCCAAAGGCTTTTACTCACCTCAGCAGCCCGGTGCTAGTCACATGACGAATTCGGCTCATCAGTTGTTGGGAGGTGGCTTTCATCCCATACAGAATGCTGATATGTGCGAGAGTCCTAGCAATGTTAGCCATGTCTCAGCACTGACTCAACGCATCCTGTCAGAAGTCTACATTGCAGCAGCAAAAGCGGCATCGATGGCGGTGAGTGAATCGATCGCCAGTGGCAGCATGGACGCTATGAACCAGACGGGTGGTGGTACTGGCACGTATCGACCAAGTTCGCACTACGCTGAGTCGGTCTCAATGATTGGTGGAAGTATCTCGGGTATTGACGGTCTTGGAATGTATCAAGGTGAGTTTTTTAACTTCATTGTTCTTAGGCTACTCTGAGATTTTGCCTATGACAACTTTCGTTAACGCCATAGCGCCTTTCGCAATTCGGAAATTTCTCTATAATGAAATAAAAATCAATGAATTGAAGTGTGTCACTTAACAAATTTTCATTGCAATTTTCATAAGTGTTTTCAATTTTAATTTTCCTAATGGGAAGCCGGCGGGGGGGGGGGAAGGGATGGTACCTAATCCAAAGAAACTCGGATCCAGCGTATTTCAGGAACGAGTGAGCGCTAATATCGATCACTATGACCACTTTAGTTGAATGGAAGAGGTGGCTTCATGATCGATCTCTACCCTTTGAGTAGATGATTCACATCGAAAGTACTGATACTTTGGCGCTAATCACCCTTGCACAAAATCCACTTGAAAGTGCCTTGGAAACCGTTAGACTAAAGAGATGTGGAAGTAGTTGCACTTTGATAAATTAATGCAGGAACACCCAAATTGTTATTGACTCAACCGATACAGAGAATACACATGCCTTTGGCTGTTAGCACTACTTAATCAAAGCTTCAGTAGACCTAGACAAAAAATATTTAAATTAGTTATACAAATTGCTTAGATCTTGTAGTCTGATGTGATATCAGGGGATCTATTTTTCATTTTGAGCGTGAAATATAAAATAATTTAAGAAGGACTTCCCATGCTCACTGTTCCTATTACTGAAAAGATGATAGCATATTATCAAGATTAGTGCTAATAGAACTAAAATAAATGTCCTTTTTTGTAATTCATTATTGATATTATTGAGATACCTTTACTATTTAGTTATTAAATATGTTCTGTTAATTCGCCTTTTGAATAATTATATATATATATATATATATATATATATATTTAATTGTTTATTTACATTTCTTGATGACTTCTTTTGTGTAAAATCTATTTTTTTGTTAATTAAGTTACCAGACATTAGGGGCTATTTTTTCAAGCGTCATCGACTGTGTTATAGATTTTGAGCGTAAATTGTTTCTAATATATAAATATATAATAAGAAAAATAATGTAATGAACTAAAAACGAGTCGCCATGTGATATCTGAGTGAGGCCTGAAGTCAATCATTCGAGGAGGGTTACATATGTGCTGGGCTTCATTCTATCTTGTCACACCAACCTCAGTCATCGGAATACGTCATTTTCGAGTAGCATCTGGGCCTGTGTGTGTTTGTTTGTATTTCAGTCGAGGTTGCAATTTTTCTCAACTGGGAAACCGAGATTGAATTTTCTAGCGAATGCGATCGCTCAATTCAATTGACCCAGCCTAATCTTTCATTCCTTTAGTACCCTCAGCGAACGGAATGGCTCGAATGCGAAAGTCACCACGCACGGTGACCCCAACTTATCAAAGTCATCTGACAGCCCAATCTCCAGCCTCCTCAGCGGCCACTCCCTACATGACCCGACCAAGAATACTCTCCCCCGCAGGGTCAGGGCTGGGGTGGGCATCCCCAATGCTTACTCCACAGGCTACTATGCGACTCAATGAGGCTGCAAGTGCTCTAGCCGCTGCGGCAGCGGCAGCGGTTTTGGAAGCAACCGGTGCCACACCAAATCTAAATGAGGCTCAAGGCGGTGCCAATGGAACTGTGAATTCCCATCGATCGCGATTCAGTGGAAATACTGGTGCGGGTGGAGGCGGGACTAATGGAGGACTGGCTACCAGTAGTGAAGATGGCGAAAGTGTCTCCTCAAATTCATTCTTCTCCCGGAATCCCAATGGCAAACCTTCAAGCCAAGAACCTATTTCAAAGGTAAGAAAAAGTCCGAGAAAGCATACTGCTTTGAGTGGCTAAGTTACATCATTAGCATGAAACTAGCTTTGATGGGGTTCACTGCAGGAGATAGCGTAAACAACTTTGAGACTCTATTCTTGACCAACTTTACGAACTTAACTCTTAAAATATTTTAATAACTGGCGGGATGAAGCTCAAAAGGCAATGAATTAATAGAGGTCTTAAAGACAAAGGGAAAAAACCTAGTAACGACAGAAGCCAAATAATCGATATTTAATTACCTACATTGAAGGTCTTAAGAAATGGTTAGAAGGATCGTGAATTCAAAATTTTGTATACAGTTATATATTAAAACTATATTTATTTATATTTATTAAAATTACGAGTTAACTAAAAGCACATTGCGATCAAATAAACCTTGTGGTGCTAAGGGTTTTTTTCCTTTATGTTTTCTCCGCCTAAATACAAGGCAGAATTTTAACTCGAAAATCAGGTATGAATAAATTTTGAAATCATTAAAGTATTTTCCCCTATTACCAGTTTCAAATTGATTTTTTTAAATTTTAAGTCTTCACTGAAATTTAAATAACTTCATCGTTATAATTGTTTGTTTGTTTATTGGGGAATTTTCAAATTTTCCTTCGTAAATCAAATCAAATTAAGGGATAAGTGTCGGTATCTTATCACCTATTTATTTAGTTCCCTATAAAAAACACCCCTGAAGGAATGTTCCCAATAACCTATTAGCACAAAAGCAAGATTAATTCAACCACATGATCAGCTTACAATTGCCAAAAAAATCCGTTAACGTACCATGAATCTTGCGGTTTATATGAACTATATTGCCTAAAGAAGATCAATAGTCGCTATAAACAGAAGAGGCGGAGCTACCATAGGTTATAAGGGTAATAGTCATTTCAAAAACAATTATTATGTGAATTTATTATGAAATTACTCCTTGTATGCAGTTGGATGTTGATCGGCTACTGATCGTATAGACGGCACACCGAGTAGCGTAGGTTCTTTCAGTTCCGATGTGCTGTAAAAGCTCCTGAGTATTTAATGATTTACGCCTTCATTAGTGGTTGGATGGAGCGCAAGCATTGTATGTTAATTGAAACAAATACGAATTCTTGGTTGGTAGCCGAATGTTTTTAGTTCGAGTTCAGATTACACAATTGAACGATCCTCCAAGATGGATGCTTTAATCATTACATAGTAATAAATGGGTTATCTATTCTCTGTTTATGAAATAGTTTTAGTTTACTGGTGTAAATGCAGATTTCCCTAATCAATTTAAAATTACCCGATATTAATTATACGCAAATTAGGTGTAAGAATCAGATTCAAGGTGTGCTTCCTGAGATAAGACAAATTTTTATTTGCTAAATTGCTCATTTCTTTCTCAGTTGATATTTGAGAAGGCTTTCTCTCTCTCTCTCAATCTCTTCAAGACAGCTCGAATTTAAACACCGAAAAATATTTGAATTTGGCTCCGATTTCACTCCCGAATGTGTGTGTGTGTGTGTGTACGCCTTCAAGTGCGCTCAAGATGCTATTTTTTATATATTTTCTCTTATAAAATCAAGGCAATCAGTACGTATATTTTACTCACAATTGACTGATTCAATTGATTTTAGCTTTACTGAGTGTTAATTAGTGTTGCATTTGCATCTAAACTGCTCTCTTTATGAGATACGTAGTCTGGCATCGCATCAACTAACTAATTTACTCAAGTTAAAAACTCAAATGAGCCAAAGTTTTCGCGATTTAACAACGTAAATTACTTAGGTACAGAGGTAATTCTGTTTGGGAAATATTTACTCTACTGTAGTTAGGACAATAGTTTCTATTCAGATTATTATTCTAAATCTACTATTTTGTTGATTCAACCTGATTGAGTGAATCATTTGCTATTTTAGCTATTACGTTTGGGTAGGGGGGGGGGGGGAATGGTAGGTGAATTTTATCTATTACTTGAAATTCGTACTTCGAGTACAATAAAGGAAGTGAGCTATGCTAAGAACATCCAATAATATTGATTTTTAATTGCGCTGTAGCGGAAAAAACTGGCTCAAGATTCGCGCAAAGGACCTCTACCCAACCCTTTAACAGAAGGTCTCCTCCCAATGTTGTCTGTCCCTAATAATATCTCACCTAATTATCTACAGACAATTGGTCCTCATAGTGTTCGAACCTCCTCAACTGAACTTTCAACTTTCTTACCTTCCATATCGTTGGACGGGTCATGGAATCAGAACTTCCAGCCAATCCGCAATCCTAGAACTGGCGAAGAAGCAAAATTCAGTCCATTCCCCGAGTCTCAAAGTCAGGCTGAAATGTCCTCAACTTTTGATAAGACACCCACTCCATCAGCTAGACACCCAGCACCAATAATTACCTCCCAAGGTCCTTCTAGTTCCGGCAGTTTCATGACCATCGATGGAACTACTACTTCTAATAACACCATAAGGGAAAATGATGTTGGTTCGGTGAGTGCAAAATCTCAAGCCCAAAATGAACTCTCATCTTCTCAGTCCGTTAACCCTACCCCTAGCGAATCGCAGAAGTGATGATCTTTTAAAATGTATATCTCTACTACATACTGACATTACTCCCATAACGACTCCTTTCAACACCGTCGCATTATCTGTTTCTTTGTTTTCTTTTGCTCCAACTGTACCCCCCCCCCTCCCAATCTCTCTTCTACTCCCCAAATCTCTTATTCAGCCCTTCCTCACTAGAAGCAATCACTTAAAGGCACTGTAGTTGCTTTTGTGGAGTTTTATCCCGTTGTATTTGACAAATCTGTACTATATTTGTCATTCAAGGGGCTTAATTGATACCTGACCAGCATTTGAATGGTTAAATTTTTAAAAGTCTCCTTTAGCTGACTGAGGTGCTCGAAGTTTAATCGGAATAGATCAATCGGAATAAAGCATTAAGTGGCTGTGTGCTAAGTTGTTGATTGGTTGTAAGTTGGGATCGATAGCTCAACGTGTGTGGCTGTACGAAAACTGTGACCGTTCAAAGTGAGCTTAGTGCAATGTGGGCTTATGATGATGACTAAGCACGGACGAAGTGGCTGTGTGCGATATCTTTCACCCAGGCTAATACTTGGCTAGTTTATCGCACAATCTGACTCACTCTATTCAATTTGCATAGATTATTCCCGGTCTTTTGCATACATTGATCATCCCCCCTGTTTTCTACCTTAAATAAGACTAAATCAAAAGTATTTTCGCCAGGAGTAAGTAGTATTCATTCTGCGAACTTGAAAGTCAAATTAAGTTAAGCGTTTGTTTTGGAAGACACCGCACTTTATCAGGCTTAATGTTGAGATAAGTTGAAGACAACGCAAAAAAAGTGTTTTGAAGGCTGCTCAAAAATATGTTGATGGTGCATAATTCATAATCCTGTATCGATTCCTCCTTTCATATTTCATGAATTGATTTTTTGGCGGGTAAAGGTGTGCTAAAGGCTCGTTTTAAATTTAATAGGGAAAATAGCCACCTGAATGAAGGCGGAGCACTAAACGTACTTACACGAGAATATTGGCAGCAATAAAATCAAATGATAATAACAGAAGCATTTGACTTACTTTATCTTACACATGACTCGTTAAACCTGTTTGCAAGTTATCAAAAGTTTACATAACTGGCCTTGAACTTTAAGAATCAAGACAGAATTCTCGATACAGGAATTTTTTGTAGAACAAGCTGAGCGCATTCATTTTAAACGTTTTATAAATTGAGGAAATGCCAAATTTTGCCGTTTTCGCATAAAATTAATAAGATTCCCGTCATTCAAGGTGCCTATATTAAGCACCTGGTTTTTCTGTGAGTAATAAATTAACGTAAGCAGGGCACGCGCAAAGCATTTATTCATCGATCGAGTAACCAGGGTTTCCCGATTGAACGCTTTACGTCACTAGTCGACTTATCGTTTCTTTTTTCGTTCCGGTGTAAAATGACGCTTAGAAATAGCTTAAATCACGTGTACCTAAGTCAACAGTGTTTCGCATCCCCATGAGCATTTATCTTTTTCCATTTGAAAAAATATTTCAAGGCAGTGAAAGCTATTTCGGCTCCTCAATATTTATAACAACTATGATCATTAATAGACTGAAAGTCAGTTCAAATCAACGAAAGCCAAGGGTAAGAGCAAAATGATTCATAGACAGCAGATAAGGAAGAGAATTGATGAAAAAAGTAGCGAGATTTCTATATAATAGTCTATCACGAAAGCATTCTGGAAATCAATGGTATGTGAAGCTGGCTTGTGAAGTGCGAGTGTTGGTTGAATGACAAGTTGGGTATCTGTGGCGAAAACACCTTTAATTTCTTATCGTAAAGGTGAAAGATATGTGCATTTCCTTCAATTAATCGCTAATGGACACGAAGGAGCATAATAGGAGGTTGGGGGCGGGCTGGGGGGAAGGGTTAGGAAGAGGTGGGTAAGGGTAGGAGATTAGACTGATAGGGAGAAGTAAAGTGGGCGAGCACCAGCCAACATAAACCGAAATTCGAATACTAATCCTTAAATTCATTAGTTGCATTTTTTCTACTCTGGCTGTTGATCAGACGTCTTCCAAATCAAGAAGGCCCACCCGAAAGCCTTAAAATGAAGTAGCTGGCCTCCAAGACTTGCAATATTGCTTCCGTAAGCACCGGTACCAGCAATGACATGCCACACAGGTCCAAAGTTCTCATCCATTGCCTTTTTCAAAGTTGCCGCAACCTGAGTAGGTCCATTTGCAGTTGCTAGAGCTGATTCAGCCAACTGAAGAACAATTTTTTTATTTGGGGGAGGTAGTGATTCACCATCATCCCCTTCCTCCATTCCATTTGTGTACTCAATTCCTACATCCGTGAGATCAACATAGTCGGCTGGAAAGCCGTCATCTCTAGTTACTTCACCGTGCACTGATGGCATCACTGCTGCAACTTTTGGGGAAAGAGTTGCATTCCATGTGTTTTGATACTTTTGTGAGGTATAGGTTGTTTCATTTAGGGTACCTCCAGGTGAAACAAATCCATATGGTACAGCAGTGGGTGTCTCTTTGTGAATCGGTACTTCAAACTCATTAGGAGTCTGTCGCGACTTTCTTCCTGACTCCATTGTTCCTGGAGTAGCAGACTGGGCTTGTATTCTCTGAGTCTCGAAGTACTTTTGTCTAGAACGAGCACGCTTAGTAAGAGTACTTCGGCCATATTGAGACGGATTTGGCGGAGGTAGGCCGTCACTCTCCCATTGATCACTCTCGAAGTTAAATACGTGTGAATTCCTCTCAGCTGTGCTTTGATGAGCTCCATTAGGACAGCACACACAGTGGTACTGACTCGGTGTTCTCGCACTTCTGGGGTATCCAGATATTAATCTTGAAGTTGTTCCTGGAGTCATAGTTGGGGGCATGCCTGATCGAGGTCCAAATGTAGCTGATGGTGGTGGATATCGTCGTGGAAAGCTATAGTGAATGGGTATCGCTGGCGATGCTAGATATGGAACACCTGGAACAGGGGTTGCATACTCCTCAGGATAGTAGTAGGCAGCTGGCGACACCTGTGCGTAATTTCCTGCCCAATCTGGATATACTGCGAACGTGGGTGTAGTGTAACCGAAGGTCATAGGTACACCTCTGACAGTTCCATAGATATCCCTAGCTCTTGATCTCGAACTTGGACGGATTCTGGTGTGACGGTGGCAGCAACACCTTGAATGATGATCCTTTTTACGTCTACTAGTGGACTGTGAACGACCCTGTGTGTCTTGAATATTCATCTGCTTGAAATTGCTGTTCAAAGTTGACTGATCATAATGCTTTCGACGCTCAGACTCTCGAATAATGTCAGATGAGTAGCTGCGCTGATTTCTTGGTCTTCCAAGACATGGTGATTCAAGAGGAGGTATGACCATTTTTGTCACCACTCGAGTTTCGCTCCCTTGTCGAAGAGTTCTTTGCCGTCTACTTGAATTTCGCGCTGCTGGAGGGCTGACAATTAGTGTCTCACTGGGATAAACATAGTTCCTCTGCTCTCCTGTTGCTGCCCAGTTTCGACCGGTTGTGGAAATGCGCTGAATAGGCACATTAACTGGAGGATAAGAGGGGCGAACATCTACGTGAATTGAAGAAGAATTCTTGCTGTCGGTATAGGGAATTTCATCTTCAGATCGATAAATTGCATATCCTTGACGATTTCCTAGTTTGCCTTCAGAATCGCTACCGGCATTATTTCCAGTCTGATAGGTCTTCGAGGTTACATCCGTACGACGGTTTGTCACTGTTGATCTCGAAGTAATATAGAATTCATCTGGACCTCGGGACCATTCTTCATTGTCCGATGTACTACAGAGATAGAGAAAGCAAATGAAATTGTCGCATTCTAGTTGAGCTAAAGCATTTAAGATGAAACTAATGTCATGTAAACATTTCACCAAATGACATAGCATAAGAATTAGAGCAATATTAAAGGTGAAAAGAGAGTTTTTAAATCCGTTTTGAACTTACTTTTGAGTGACCTGTGCCATTTGTTATTTTCTGAATGGAGAAATGACCCAACTTACAGTAAGTATTTGCTAGAAAAAAAAGGAGAAAAATTAGCAAATATTTGTAAGCGTCTGAAGTTGATATAGTGTAGCTATAATGAAACACCCACCCCTTCCCATTACCAATCACTGTTTTGTGATCGTCAACATGTCAAATTAGTAAGACCTCAGTCAATTAATAATTTACCTATTACATAACATATAGTATCCATGCCTTCCTCGCATTTTCTCCAGAAGAATTTTATGATTGAAAGAATGTGATCTGAACATTTTAAGATGAAAGTCTTGTTCAAAAAAATTGTTTTTTTTTTTTAAATAAAACAATGTATCATTACAGTTAAAATACTCCCCTAATGGCATTCAATCAATGGTATTTGTCAGTAGCATGTGCGAAGAATTAATCCATTATATGAATGAAATTGGCAAGGATTGCTTAAGAGTTAATTGGAACAAACAAGCAAAGACGATATATTTAAAGATATTAAAGACTACCCAAAACATAATTAATTCAGTCATTCGTCAATTATCCGAGATTAATCACTGCGTTTTATAATTATATTGTGATTAGCCTCTTTTTTCTTAAGATTAGGAGATTTTAATCAAATTTGTTTCAATTTGCAATTTTTTTTGCTGAATTGGTTTTTATAGAGCAACGAACTTGTATTTTTCTTATCTGGAATGAAAACGTCCATCAGTTTTAAATTAATCTTAACTCCATCTCAACCTAATACGAGGCTAGCTGAAATCATTGCTACAATTTCAAGGCACGTTTGGCTTATGTGATTGGCGACACCTTTGAGTTTAGTTTACACCAGTGTTTACACCGTACGCACTAGAGTGGAAAATATGCTCAGTTTAGTGACAGAAGATCGCAACAATGGGGTGGTAAAGTACAGGGTGAACCTAATTTGCATCTAACTCTTTGGCATATTTGCATATCAAACATTTACACTTCTAATATTTCATTCCTTAAGGGCATGTTCATGTCAAAGCTTGACATCTTTTGTATCAATACTATCCGAATTATTTGGACAGTATGCCTCTACACTGGAAAGATCATTGAAACCATGCCGCTTGGAGGTAGATTTAAAGACTATGATAGGATAAGTGTGCATAACATTAAATCCTCAAATAAAAATATGCACACATTTTAAAATTATGAATTAGATGTGATAATAGGAACTAAGTTTAGGAGTGTGACTCACCTAGCAGAATGGTAAGTCCAAGGAAAGGCAACGAAGTTTCACGATGTAGAATTAAATCCTCTCCTTCTCCAAGTAGCGCAGTGAGAAGAGTTGTTCAGACGAAAAGAGGAGAAGAAGGTATTTAAGAGAGTAAGTGTGTTTGTGTGTGTAAAGGGGATTGAAACCAATCACCTCTTTCTCTCTTAATGCCTGTAAATGTGCGTAAAGTATTACTAACAGAGTTTATCGCCCCTATCCAATGCCAATATGGTCGTGCTCTCGTCTTCTACTGGTTAGAGGCCTATTGGAGTACGCACTTAGATACTGGTATGTGCTGACTCCTACAGACGCACCCGCTCAATGCGGTGAGACTGATGCATACGTTCTCATGGTTGGCACCGAGCTCATTTCTCGTTCTATGTGCACTCATGCGTAATGCATATTACGTGGGTGAGTGTGTGTGTGTATGTGTGCTTGTGTGGCGTGGATGTAATCCTGAATTTGTTTTACTGTGTGCTATTGAGTGCTCGCTCGTTAATCAAGATGAAGTGACTGGCTGGAACGGCCACTCACAGGTAGCCACCTAGCTATTTGTGGTAACGACTGCACTGGCCATAACCAAACACATTTGATGTGGTGAGATGAGAACAGTAGGTCAATAGCTGAGTAACATATCGTTGTCTTGGTAATTCTCAGGTCAGCTTAAAGGCAATAAAAATTAAGCATTGCGTGTGAAGGGGAAGGAATGTGACGCGTTCTTTATTTATTTGTGTGTGTGCGAGTTTAGGTGACAGTCAACTGTCAAGTGCAAGTCTTATTGATTGAGCGTAACCCCATTTTGTTGAGATGATGGCCTTCGTGTAGGATTAATTAATTTTAAGGGAGAAAGACAATGTGAATATCATCAATTTCAATTTATATTGCTGTACATCTTACAATCTAAATCGAATAATTGCATGATTGAGTAATTATTTGCTATACTCACCGTACAGCACCACCAGTAAAGCGAAAAAGATGTGTAAATTGACATTTTTGTCCTAACAACTCATTGCCGGGCATTGGAGGAGCAGTGACCGTTTATAATTAAATATAGGCCACTCCCATTTTGCATGAGTTCTGTGCCACAACGGCAATCACTATAATTTCCGTATTATTGAAATATTTTGAGGGAGAAGCTGGGGAGAAAATACTGCTGTATCAACTCTTAATCTACTTTCTCCATCTCAGATTAGTATATACGATTGTATATCAGCATTACTGGATATGCCAACAAGGTCAAAGGCGTGTGCCAATGAATGGAGCCGATATGATCAATAAATTGCACATTAAATTTTTCCCCAAGGCCGCATAAGAATGTGATGCATTACTTTTGGCAACATTGAAGAAACCCAATCTTTGCTCCTTGAATAATAAGCAACTGAATACCTCAGTAAGAATTTTAATGGTGGGGTGGGGTGGGGGGTTGAATGGGAGAAAATGATTAATTTGAATTCCCCAACCAATGGTTTTTCCACTTTCTTGAAGGCGGAATGACTTAGTTTGGCAATATTAACATTTTCCAAAGCTCAATCGCTACGAAATAATTCCTATGTCACGAAATGGATTCGCTTCTGTGCTACTCAGAGCCAATAGACAAGTTGGCATAATTAAATTGCTAATCTTGTAACAACTGTTACTTTGTATCACCTTATGATCGTCTTGAGATAGACTTACCTCCATGTGGTGCACCCTAGGCAACGTATACTCATACGGCAAAAAAGTCTATTAACCGGCAGCTGACTTCTGACTTCAAACTACCATCATCCCACTGTATGTCATATTACACAGCTTTCACAGTACTCATCTCACTTTTCTCTGCCTTTGTGTTTGTCTGTCTCCTCTACAACTGTGAATCACTCTTCTTTTCCCCCTCCCGAATTGTTCTCACTTTGATTTTCCTCCCTCTCCGAAGCCCAAAGTCAGCTAAATGGCTAGTGATAAATATTCAAAACGCCTGCCATTTGAAATAACAATGATCGCCTTACAAAATTTAATTGGGCTCACTAGTGTTCAATCAAGTTAATCTCAAATAAGATTAAGGCATATACGGTTATTTAAAAAGTAAAGTAGATTATAACTAAATCGGGTTCCAATTTTTTTCTCCATTAAAGTAAAACAAACATCTGTCATATTGGTTAGGACTTGTCATAAACAGAGCAATTGAAATATGAGTTAACAATTCACACAAAAATACCTTTTAAGAATGGGGTAAAAGAAAAGTCAATGCTGAGTTTTTAATGGAAAACACTCATTGGAATATTTTGCATTTTTATGTACGTATTTGCGCATTTTACACAATACCACTCCTATCTCATTGATTTATGCGCCAATCTATGGTAAATGAACTTATTTTGTGGGGTGATATAACTGCATGCGTATTTCATACTTAACTCTGACAGCTCGTTACCTCTCTAATAAGTCCTCCTAAGCCACATAGCAACCTTGGTAAGGCAAGTGTATTGTGTTAAGTTCTACTTAATTTAAAATGTGTAGCTGGGGATTTACGCGGTAACTCTGTTGTTGAAGTATCATCTGATTGAGCAATCCATTTCTTTAGCTTTGATTTATATTGGCAGATTGGGGGGGTGTGCGATAGATTTACCTCCACGTGGTGCACCCTGGGCAACGTATATTCATACGGCAAAAAGTCTATCAATGGGCAGTTGACTTCTGACTTCAAACTGACATGATCCCACTGTATGCCATATTCGACTACTACCACAGTACTCACCTCACCTTTTTCTACCTTCGTCTTTGAAGCACTCTTCTGTTCCCCCCCCCCTCTTGACTTTTTTCCACTTTGATGTTCCTTCCCATCTGTGAAGCCTGAAGTCAACTAAAGGGCTAATGATAACTATCATAACGCCTGCCATTTGATATAAATAAATATTGGCAGATTGTGTGGCCAAAAGACATTCCATGACTAAAACATGCACGAATTGTGCATTGGGTTTAAAATTGCAGTTGTATTGAAAGTATAGTTACAGTCAAATTGAAGTTTAATTTATTATAGTCATTCACCTCGGCGGTCTGTGTTGTTAACAATACTTTTGTACCAATCAGTTGCTCTAGAGGTGATATGATCGGCCACTCAGTTTAGGTAACTAGTAACCCCAAACATCCTGAATGCGTGCTAACGCCGGAATCTAGAGGTGAAATCTTAAAATCTGGGCTTTAGTGCATTAGAAAACCATAAGTCCAACAAGCAAGCCGAAGTTATGGGGATATGTTGACCTAATTTCCTCTCGATTTTCAGTTTGAGTTAATTCGAAACTCTGAGTGGTTGTTTTCATCATCCACCCACCAATAACCCAATCTGGTGTAGGGTGATGATTCGTTCTTACCTCCATTGGTACCACGTTATACTTCTTTTGTGGTTTCCATTGCAAAAACCACTCCATTTGCTCTCCATTTAAACCGTTAGTTGTATCCCTTCAATACCACTTCTGACAATTAACAATCATGTGGGTTGGTACAAACTCTTTATCAGTGCCAGTGGGGAGGCCAGGCTGGACCAGTCTACGTCCAGAATCTAGGTGTCTGGGGTCAAAACTAATAGAGAATATGGCAGTCCCCACCTCACATATACTGGTTTGGTATTGTTTATACCAAAGCCCCTTGATTGCCAGTTAACGTCTGTATGCCTTTACTAACAGCTACTATAAATGAAGCTGCTTCCTCAAAACAAGGTGTGCCAACTAAATTTATATGAAATTCGTAGCGTGGGACATTTTCATTTCCAAGATTCTACAACGATGCCGACGCAAGAGCTATCCCGGAATGGATTAAGATGAGGGGATTAGCGAGGAATTTGAAATAATCATTAAATACCCGGGTTAATCATTAAATTAAAGCTGGATTTCGTAATGATGATGAATGTGTATGGCATCTGGGATTGATATCGCGTACCTAATCAAGCATCATTTTAATCCCTAAGTTCGTTTTCATGGATTCCATAACATTATAATAATTTGTTTGAATACCTCTAAGGAGTAACTAAATTACAAAAGTGGGGTTGGTCTTGAAATGAATTCTCGATTGTTTTGGAAAAAAAATGTACAGCTTAGAAAATTGCCAATATGAAATAGAGGGGTCATGCTGAGCTGATCTAAAATTTTAGTACCATGAGTTTTGACGCAAAGAAATTGTAGATAGTTAACGTAAATATGGGAGAAACTATGGCAGTCAACAAGCTGAGTCAAATAGAAAACTGAAAATTATGCTGATACATTAGGATACAAAGAAAAAAATGAGACCCCGGGATTTTAAAAAAATCGATAATTGATTGATACAATTCTAGAATTACTTTTGATTGGGTAATTTAAAGAATGACTGGAAACACGCATTTATAAATAGCTAGTTGGCTAGACCGCCATGAGGAACCGAAGCCACAATGCTTACGATCTCGCAAATTCAATAAGAAAGAATGTAATGCGTAAACACGGGGTGTGCGATAGACTTACCTCCACGTGGTNGGCAGTTGACTTCTCACTTCAAACTACCATCACCCCACTGTTCGGCATATTCTACCACTTCCGCAGTAATCATTTACCTTTTCTTTGCCTCTGTGTCTGTCTCTTTTACAACTGTAAATCACTCTTCTGTTCCTCACCCATCGACTTTCTGTTACTTTGACGTTCCTTCCCCCTGTGAAGCCCGAAGTCAGCTAAAGGGCTAATGATAACTATCAAAACGTCTGCCATTTGAAATAATTTTTTTTCTGAGTTCCCGCTTTCTGTTAAAAAGCGATGTGTTTAGCACACTTTATTCACTCACTTACCACTAACACTGCTACCAATGCTATTTCAAATGGCGCTGTTGACTTTATTGATATAAAATAAGAAAGAAATACAAGGGCGTTTATTGGAGCAGAAATGTACTAATTACTACGGTAGCTATTTTAATGGTAAATCTAAATCAGATGCTCTCATTACTGCCCAACTGTTAACTCATTAGTAACATCGACAATGACTTTGAATGCGTATTCGCAAATTGCTTCGTCGGTGAAGATGTGGACAATTGCAATTCGAATGAAAAAGATCTCCTCTCCCTCCGGCATTTTGACACTGGCTGTAACTAGATGTATTCGACCATCATTCTCCAGACGCTTGTGGAGTCTTTTGGTCAAATCATTGCTATCCTACAAGGAGAGGATGTTGATATTTTTTATAAGGGACTCTCACCTTGATTCGAAAGCATACAAGACCCATGGTGACATCACCAATTATCTCGAACCTAGTGTCGCTTTTAATGAGCAACTCGAGGTATTTAGCCATTCGGATATGCTACAAAATAAGAGTAAAAATTGGGTGACAGTATCATATAAATGGAAGTTGGAATAAACACCCAAAATAAATCATTCGACATAATTGATGGTTTTAAATAATAATTGGACAAAATCCATATTGCAATCCAGTCGCCTTGGGGATAAATTTCTAATACAAATTTTCTTGTGACATGAAGTCGACATTCGGAACTGATGATGGCCAATTCCCCACGGTAATAGGCAAGTCGTTATAAATTCCAAAGGCCTCTAAGTGCCTAAGCAAAAACAGACAATTAAGTGTGGGGTGTGGGATAGACTTACCTCCTCGTGGTGCACCCTGGGCAACGTATACTCATACGGCAAAAAAGTCTATTAACTGGCAGTTGACTTCTCACTTCAAACTACCATCACCTCACTCTATGCCATATTCGACTATTTCTACTGTACTCACCTCACCTTTGTTCTACCTTTGTGTTTGTCTCTTACATCTTTGAGACTCTCATCTGTCCCCCCCCCTGTCGGCTTTTTCACTTTGATGTTTCTCCCCCTCTGTGAAGCCTGGAGTCAACTAAAGGGCTAATGATAACCACCAAGACGCCTGCCATTTGATATGAATAAATAAATAAGTGTGTAAACACTCAATTGCATCATACCTATAATGTACTGGATAAAGTTTACATGTTATCCGTATGAGCTTTTGGAAACCTGCTCTCAGGACTCAAGAGAGCCAGCCAACTTCCGGTGTTCTGAGGTTATCTTCAAGGATTCAATTAGGGAGACCAACGACCCACTTGAACAAGGTAATATAAGCAAATATTCAATATAATCAGCCCGTTAATAAAATCTGATACGCGAATTTACACAGGAACCTTGGAAATATGCTCTGTAGGCAACTGTTATTTTGAGCAACAGGACATAAAGTAAAATATGAAGACCATAATATTATCAAAATTCTACTAAAGTTCGTCTTCCAGTTGAGAGAGAGAGAGAGATTCAAAGTGATTAAATGCGCAAATTTCTTATATTTACTTATTTCAAATGGCGGGATTTATCATACTTACCATAAGCCCTTTAGCTGAGTTCGGACCTCACAGAGGGGAGGAACAACAAAAAAATTGGATAAAAGTTGAGAGGGGAACAGAGGAGTGATTTAAAGACGTAAAAGAGACAGACGCAAAGGCAGGGAATAGGTAAGATGAGTATGATGGAAGTGGTGGAATATGACATACAGTGGGGTCATGGTAGTTTGAAGTCATAAGTCAACTGCCAGTTAATAGACACTTTTTGCCGTATGAGTATACGTTGCCCAGGGTGCACCACGTGGAGGTAAGTCTATCGCACATCTCGCAAATTTCTTACATCTTAACTGTGAATAAATGGGACTTTTTCATGTCTTAACTTTTTAATTATTGAGTACGGTTGCACACTTGTCAACTCTGGGGACTGGCGAAGATAGCTAGCAGGCTATCTCGAGTTTAGCACGTAAATGCACTTTAAAATGTAGGACGGTAATGCGGTAGAGAGGACGTAATTGAATTTGTCGCCAAGATTTCGACAAGGTGGCAAGGGGACGAAATAGATCTTTTACAAAATCCAAGATTGAAATTTAATATCAAGTAAAGGAAAAAAGGGTTTATAATGTACTCTTTATAAATTGCTCTTCAAAACACTTTAGGCATTTTGAGGTTTTTAGAATTTAATTTAATCAGACAATAAATGTCAATCATGTGCATTTGTGTTGCACAGCATAGTCTTGGAAGTCTCACAAGGGATGGAAAAGGGGATACAAATGCGATAGTAAGTTTACCAGAGAGGTAAATACGTTTTAATGTGAGTGTGAGGTGAAGTAATTGCGGCAGTCAAACACTAGCAGATTCATTGGTTGTAAAAAGCTACACCAGGGGACATTTTCTGTCAAAGCAATTCATTATAATCCAATTCGACTTTATCTACTAAAACGCGACTTCTATGTTCACTTAACCTTATTGCTTATATTGCAACTAGCCGGGGAGGGGGGGGGGGGGGGGGGGGGGCAAGACGAAGTAGATGGTGAGTTTATGCCAAGTTATGGCTAAAACAAATCAATGGAGACGTCAATGAAAGGTGTCATGGTAACTGCAGTTAGCACTACTGAATCTTGGCTCTTGGAGCGTAAATTACCACGTCAAAGTAGTTTGAGCAAAGGGTGTGCAATAGACTTACCTCCACGTGGTGCTCCCTGGGCAACGTATTCTCATACGGCAAAAAAGTCTATAAACCGGCAGTTGACTTCTGACTTCAAATTACCATCACCCCACTGTATGTCATATTCGACTACTTCCACAGTACTCACCTCACCGTTTTTCCACCTTATTTACCTTCATCTTTGAAACACTCTTCTGTTCCCTCCCCCCCCCCCCCCCCCCCCGCCATCTAGACTTTTTCAACTTTGATTTTCCTTCCCTCTGTGAGGCCTGAAGTCAACTAAAGGGCTAATGATAACCATCAAAATGCCTATCATTTAATATAATAATAATAATAGTTTGGGCTAAACTAACGGTATGCTGTAAATCGCTTGACAGCATTGCACTAGCGATAGGGGCTGTTCCACGGGAGCAAGGATTAATGAGAGATTCCAGTTACCTTAATTCTTAGTAAACTTAATAGGGATCAAAATTTTATTAACCAAAATTTTATCCTTCCTGGTGTTGTCAGATTCAAGGCGAGTATCTTCAGAGTTCTTTTTAAAAGGTAACAATTAGTATTCTTCTTAGGCGAGTAATAATTTATTTATATTAAATGGCAGGCTTTATGATAGTCATCATTAGCCCTTTAGTTGACCTCCAGGCTTTATGATAGTCATCATTAGCCCTTTAGTTGACTTTGGGCTTCATAGAGGGAAAGAAGAGACAAAGTCACAAAAGTCGAGATAGGTGGAACAGAAGCGTGATTCACAGTTGTAAAAGAGACACAAAGGTAGAGAAAATGTTAAGTTGAGTACCATAGAAGTAGAATCCTGATATTTTGAAGTCAGAAGTCAACTGCCGGTTCGCAGAGTATACGTTACCCAGAGTGCACCACGTGGTAATAAGTCTATCACACTCCCCTAGACGATTAATAGAAAATTAGCGCAGATCCTATATCCCACATTTATCCTCATTTTACACTCACAAATTTCCATCTGTTTGTGGTATCTGATAGGAAGCCAAGAAAACAAATCTCAAAGCTGGAATTTTCGTACGTTGGAAAGTGAAAATTATTTCCCACTGTGTAACGCCAATTCATCCATCATCTTTGTATGTTGCTGTCTCAATTCGCTCCAGACATTTTGACACTTATTTGATAGAAAAAAGACGGTTATCACCCAGGTCATTTGTTCTCTGGGTATTAGCCATATTTAGGCTACTTAGGGTTATAAATATGGCATTTTTAGTTAATAACGTGCATTGGAGTGTCTGAATCAACCGTATCTTGGTATAACCATGTGGGTAGAAAATAAACCTCCCTACATCATCTAAATGTAAAGTCTTAATCTCTGTAACCATACTAATGAATAAATTCAATTAAAATATCAGAGTTTAGTAGATAGGGCAGTTCAGAAGCTGTATCTACTTAATCTCTCCCCTTCCCCCTTCCCCAACACTGTTGGGTTCTACTACAATCGTAATCAAACTATTTAGTCATTTTTGTGTACATTAATCATTTTGAAAGTTATACCCGTCGTGATATGACTTTTCATAAAGGAATTCTCGCAAACGCATGCTCAATCACACAAAACTCACCCCAAGCCCAATGCCAAAAGATAGAGAGAGAGAGAGAGAGATTGTCGTGATCTTGGCAGTTTTTTTTACAATTTTGACCACACGAGAAATCGCCTTTAAGTGTCGATCACACCCGAAAAATGTAAATATGAAAATCTTAATGAAGTATGCATCCAAGACGAAAATATGGTGCTTCCTTTAATTTTTTCTGACCCAAAGGTGTGATCTTGATAGGTAAATGATAGTTCAGGTATTGGGTTTCAGGGCTAATTGAAATTATCGAAATTGCTGCTTTAAATGGCCGTAGGGCAAGTCAAACTTCTGAACAGCACAGAAGAAATTTTCACGAACATTCTCTCTGCAAAGTTAAAGATGGAAGTAAGCCGCCATATTGCAAGAGAAAATAGCGTCTTCTTCCACCAACCTACGAATTTGAATCGAATGAGAATAATATTTGGTAACTGGGGTGTGCAATAGACTTACCTCCAAGTGCCTGCCATTTGATATAAATAAATTAATATATTTAGCAATTAATGCGTCAAGTCAAAAAAGCAATTTTAATCTGAGGAAATAATTTCTCGGCTAGGCGAATAATATGATAGTATTCATGTCGTTGTGTTTTTCCTAAAATCTTCTGAAATCGAAAAAGTGATAACCCAACCAGGAAGAAGGGAAAGATTAGTTCCCGTTGTCATGGCTAAACTTCATTACAATTTGATTCGAAGAATAATGGGAAAAATATGAGAAACTATTTATTTTTTAAAATTATAATATTTTTTTGGCTATGCAAATAACTTTATTTTCACCTATACTCAAAAAATTTCTTTTATAATTTTGACCCTTTATGATACTTTAAAAGAATAAATAAGTTTCACTTTGTGTTCTCTCTCTCTCCCTTTCGTCTCTCATCTGGAATTGGAGCAACAGGCGTAAAGGTGTGCAAACTATTGTATTTGAAAGCCCAAATTTGTTAGAATTTTTTTCTATTGCGATTAAACCTCAGCTATGACCCCTTTGTTTTAAATGACACAACAGAAACTCACATTCATATTAATTGGCAAAAGCGCAAAAAATGCTTTCCTAACTGTTGTGCGAGGTCGATAAAAGGCCTAATGAAATGGTAATCAATTCCCATATTCAATATTCACCTATTATGGGATGTGCGATAGACTTACCTCCACGTGGTGCACCCTGGGCAACGTATACTCATACGGCAAAAAAGTCTATTAACCGGCAGTTGACTTCTGGCTTCTAACTACCATCACCCAAC